CCCCAAAACCCCAAAACCCCAAAACCCCAAATTGATTTCTTAACATTGAAATAATACAATAACGGTAAGATCTCTGTAATAAAATCTCCGAAATCCCTGATTTAACAATATTTATGAGTGAAATTTTGATTAAAAACCGGCGTAAAGCTCTAAACATGACACTTCAGTGTTTTCTAATCCGTTGTGATCAAGTATTGTCCTCGCTTCAAGTGTTTCAAGATCGCAAAAATCAAGGCTTATTTTCATTAGCGTTTTCTTCAAATCTGCAGAAGTAGCAATGCTTGCTGCTAAAGTTTTAAATACAGTATAAAAACTATGGTAGTTTGATTCTAAGTCATTTGATGAGAATCCTTTTGATCCAAGCAAGTCAAGAATCTTGATATTTGTGTCTTTCAACAATTTTGAAAAGTCAATAATAACAGGCACTGAAAGCTGGCAAAATCTAAACTTGACTTCTTCAACATGCTTGCAAGATGTCATAACTCTCTTTATCTGGGGATGGCTGAGTTTAAAATTCTCAATTCAAATTAGGTTTAACACTCTTAAGCCGTTTCTAGTTATTCCTTCCAAATAAGGAGATATATTAAGAGTTGCTTCGTTTGATGACTGGATTTCAAATTTGGCAGCAAGTTTTGGGAATGAAGAGAAGAAGGAATTAACAGAATACCTATTTCTGCTTTTGATATCTTTCAAATATAATCTCTTCATTTTGATTTGTCTCAAGAATTTAATTTTCTTAATAAAAATTTTGTCACTTTGTCTGTTGATGTTTACTCCTAAACCGAAATAGTAATTCTCTCATTCTTGGTCTGTACCAAATATTTTCAATGTCAATTCTTCCGAGAAATAGTTGAAATAAAAACATCTCACAAGTTCTTCTTCTGTGATTATTTGTTCTTTCAGAATCGACTTCTCTTGACTATAATAGCTGCATGAGGTCAGAAGTTTTATAAACTAGAGAAAACTAACTTTATTATTTAGCAATAAGATACATTTTTAATTGAAGAACTGTTAGGAGTAAGATTAGGTTAGTTGGCAACTCTTCTATGAGTAAAGTTTCACTCAATTTAGTAAAAATTGAGTGAAGAAAACTAACCCTGATTTCTCCATTTAGAACATCTGAAATAGTGATAAGAAATAATCTAGATTATCCAGCTTTGGAACTATTGATATAAATTAAAGCTATATTATCTATGAAAAGCCTTAATAGGTATAATATAACTTTTTGAATGCTGTATGAATATATAAAGTCATTATCTAATTTAGTAGTTTTGGACAAAGCATTGGCACTTCAAGTTCTAAATAATCTTTTGAAATAAATATCAAATTTAAAACTCAGAGAACATTCTAACTTAAAAATCAAGAAAACAGACCAAAGGTAAGGTTAAATCACTTAATTTGGCTAAAACCTCAGCCTTGACTTACTCCACGATGTGGGAATTCTCTTGTGCATTCATTTGTGAAGAGCTCTCCATTTTATTATTATAAATTATTCCACTCTGGATGACGCATTTGGGGTTTTGGGGTTTTGGGGTTTTGGGGTTTTGGGG